AATATGGCATCGGACCATCCCAGATTCCTTTTCTACTCCGAAGCCACATTCGCCCTCTCGAAAATCACATCCCACGGCACCGAACTCCAAAACTGATGAAAGGAAAAGTATGAAGGAAACGAGTCCCTCCACCAGTTCGTCGGCCGGACCCAGCAGTAGTCATAGGCCTAGCCCTTCCGAAAGCGATACCGTCAAAGCTGGTCGTCCAAAAGGACCGAAAGGCAATTTGTTTTCAAATTTCAAGTTTTGGTTCAATGAAGATCGCCGCAAGCGCAAACAAAACATGACCATGCTCACAAACTACGGTCACCCGGTCAAATCACCAACTCGAATGGGTAGTCAAAATAACAGTCCGAACGGAGGAACTGGAGCTTCGGTGGCCTCATCGAGTCATGGATCAGAATTGCATAATCGAAAGGTGCCCGGAGACTTGCAGACTCTAAGATCCGTCAGCGGCTCTGTTTTGGTTCATCGCCGCCCCAGCAAGGGTTCGCGTCGGTCTTCTATGCAATCAACTCGCCAGCTATCACTGGAGCTTCATAACGCGTCCAAGGCCTCCAAGCGCTGCAGTGGTTCTAGTCGGGCCTCATTTGGATCAGTTACGGATGCTCGGACTCCAGGCAGTGAACCTGGCTCACACGCGTCTTTCCCTCAACATCCGATCAACCCCAGCCGAGCCTCTTTGGAAGGACAAGGGCGAAAAAGACGTCCTGATGCTCACGGGCGCCATGGTTCGATCAGTTCCGCTGGCTCGCGTCGTTCGGCTGCCGCTTTGCAGCTCCTGACTCCCCACTCAGTTTCAACCATGCATCCAGCTTACTCTCGTCGTACATCAGCTGCGAGCACCACCGTCAGACGTGTCACGGCGCCTGTCAGCGCTACACCCGGTTCTAGTCGTCACCGCCAGCCCAGAGCCTCGTCGTTGACATCCTCAGTTCGGACATCCATGTCTTCGGACGAGGGAGTCCAATTGATGAATCGGAGATCTTCTGGTGGTACCGAAGACCACCGCTTGCATTCCCCCAACAATGTTTATGATGTCGAAGAGACGATTGAAGAGGAAGACGATGGTGGCGAGGAAAACAAAGGCGAAGAGAATGATGAAGGCGTAGATTTTGAATCTGGCCTCCAAACTGATGCCGCTAGACAAAGTGCATTTCAAAAGCTGTCAGGTGATATCAGTGACAAGGTTCAAGGGCGTCCCAGTCTAGAGGGTGCTGCAGCAAATCAGAGTACCAGCGGCAGCGGAACCCGAACGATATTCATGGCTCACAAACCTCATTCAGTCTTTGGGACACCGACCCAGGCGTTTTTCGCCCGTTCAAATCAATCTCCAATTTCGAGCAAGTTCAACCCGGCTTATGGGACTGGTAATGGGTCGGTGTTGGCATACGTGAATCTGATGAACTCGATTGCGGATGGTCCATCATCCTCCCGGAAGAGCACGAGCACTCCGAAACTGAGAGATGTATTTGCAAACAAGGCTAAGGAGGAAGGGGAGTGGGTTGACTTGGACGATGATGACGATGAATGCGCAAGATATGAAGGAGGAATCGGGCAGGGCGTTAAAAGCAGAAATTTCGGTGCGACTGGTGATCGACCTGGGTCTGGCATGGACGCGAAATCCGGAACCAATTTTGTCAAGATGGACTGCAAATTGCCACTCAAAGAGACCAGCAGCAAACCAAACAGTCTACAGACTCATACCAAACCGACTAGCTCCAATGGGTCCATGATCGCTCAACCGCCTCCTTCGTCTTTAGGATCATCAAGCGCTTCCGGTCATCTTTTTGCAAAGACTGCCGGGAACTCTCCCACTGCTGGATTGATCGGGAATTGGAGGGGCGGGAATCCTAGAGTGACTCCCACTTTCAAATCCGTTGCTATTGAGGAAGAGGAAGAAGAAGAAGAAGAAGATTGAGGGTCACCTGTAGCCTCTCAATCCACCAATCATTTGCCTTTTGCTATCCACACTTCTACTATGTACTTTCTTCTTTTGCCAAGTTTATTCTCCTTTCTTTGCTCGTCAAGTCATGAAGAACTCATCGACAAGATCTTATCAATCAAGCCTCGAAAATCACATCTATTTACTATCATTCCGTTCATTCGTTTACCTACTCTCGACAGTCCAATTGTTCTTTTAAAAATACCAGCATCATGTACCTTTTTTTTTCCCCTTTGCTTTACTTCTTCGATCGATCTCGTCGTCTCCAAAAAAAAAGTAGTACCCTTAATTCATACCGGAAGAAGGACATAAAGCTTTCTTTGTACAATTCTCGTGTCTTTTGTAAGTTTTCTACTCTTTCTTTTCTCATGGTAGATCTGTTCGTTCAAACTAATAATCTTTCGTCTTTTTTGGTATCATAGTACAATCAATGTAGGAATCATTAGGATCTCGTCTTTGATGTTTGTCAACTGCCTACCCATCTAGCTATATTTGCCTCTTTTTTGTTCTTTCCTCCAGAGAAAAAAACAAAACAAAAAGCCTGCGTCTTCTTCATTATTTTGTTTATTTATTTCGTCACGTCTCTCTATCTATGCACATACACAACACTCATCTCAATTTTCTTTATGTATTTATTTAACTTATTTGAGCGTTTCATTTATATTTGTGATTGTTTTATCTATAATCATAGACTCTCTTCTTTTTTGTTGATCCCTCTTTCTTTTATTATATATCTTTCTGCCTGCACACATACACTCTCTCTTTCTTCTCTTCTCTTCTTTTTCTATCTCTCTATCTCTCTCTCTCATGTTTGTTGAACTTTGTTGTTAACAACAAAAAATAGAAAAGAATAAAAATAAAAAAATGAACCTTATCATCCATGTATTTACATGCACAGCATCTTTGCCTTTTTCTTCCTCTATCAGTTGAATTTGTATTGTTTTTTTTTTCTTTGTGATTTGGTCCTCTTGCTTCTTAGAGCATCTCTAACGGAGCCGCGATTGGGTGTCCGGGGGCGAACTTTGGTGGCCCGCGTTCCTTTTTTGCGCTCCAACAGACTTGGGAAACCACCCTGGGAACTTTGCGGGGGGCAGTCAAACCCTTGATGACCAGCCAACTTCTGCGGCCTGCCTCCCAGCCGCAATCACCCACTTCCAGTCGACTTCAACCCAATCTTCAACCACCCATCTCAACAACACAACTTGTACAACACCAATGGACACCCCAACTTGCCGCTCTCCAAGGAAAAAAAAAGGAAAACCTGTTCCGAAAAAGAAACCCAACACAGTTGCCACACCATAACCACCAACAATGAAGACACCCCAAAACCTGAGGGACAAAAACAAGGCTTTCCATGCTGGTCGGTCGAAGAAGATAAAAAACTTTGTGTTGCTTGGTTAGATACCAGCCAAGACATCATTGTTGGGAATGGACAGAAGGCAGCCACCTTTTGCAAATGCATTCCTAACTAATTAATGAGTACAAAAAAGAAAAAAGAAAAAAGCGCGAAGGGCTTCAAAGAGCTTCCTCTACGACCAGTTGGTGCCATCAAATGCCATTGGGCACACATACTCAAGGTTCTCAACACGTGTTTGGGCTGCTACTCAAATGTTGAGCGGAAAGACTTGTGAAGATGTTGTAGGTTTCCTTTCCATTTTAGTTCACTCATTTTTTTACTTTTACTGATTGATGATATTTTTAGTTTACGGAGGCCAAGGAGCTATACAAGACCTCATCTGGGTCATGCTTCGATCTCAATCACTGCTGGGGAATCTTGAAGGATACCCCCAAATGGCTGGCAACTCAGCAAGAAAACAACGGGGGAGGCAAGAAGGCAATTCAAGCTCAATCAAACTCACAATCAACAGTGGCACCGTCTTCCAACATGCCAAGCTCAACCCCGGCTGCATCCAGCCCTGCTGTAGTTATCAATGTCAATGAGGACGATCCAGAAAACGGTCAATCTGTTCTTGGGAACGTTTCTTTGGAGGGTCAAAAAGCTGCCAAACCAAAATGCACCAAAGACAATGCAATTGAGAAGATTCTTTTGATGCAACGGGACCTCGTTCACATCTCACACAAATGGTTGTCCTCAATGCAATCATTGGCGGATGAAGCAGTGATGTCAAAGGATCTCACTATGTTGGACAAAGAAAGCCGTACCTATTATAAAAAGAAGAAGAGAGTGATCATCCATCGCTGTGGAACTACTCTTGGGATGAATAGAGCTGGAGAGGGAAAGATGCTTTAATGGGCTGCCTCTCTGGTAACTGGGTTGAGTAAGATAACAAGAAAAAGATAAGAGTATGGACTCTTAAGGAAAGGTGTGGCTTTGGAGAATTCTTGAGATGGGTATGTCTTCTGTCTTCTGGTCTTCTGTCTGAATAATACTAGTATCCCAAATGTTACAAGCAAAGGAAAAAGTGATCGCGGACAACCACAAGACCGAGGAATAGGAAGATGAAGACGAAGCCAAAGCCAATGTAGAAGATGAAGCTGAAGCAACAGGGGACGATATGGACAAAGATCAATGAGGAAGAGGGCTTGCTATCTCACTTATAAAAACCATCTCTGATTTTTTTTTTGGATCCAAATTTTTTATAAAAATCTTTGTATATATCTCAATAATGAATCCAATTCATTTATTTACTAGGTTCATAGTCAAAAAAAAAATTGCAGTCAAAGATAGTGAGAGAAAAAAAATTAAAGAACAATTGGAAAAGTGAGAGAAAAAAAACACCAGCAAAAAATGGGTAAAGAAAAACTTCAGAAGTGAGAGAAAAGAAGAAATAAGCTAGAACAAAGATAAGAGAATAAACATAAAATAAACAAGGGATTGAGAATTGATGTCAATGTGGATTAAACTTGGTCTGCCAGAGATTCATCTCTGTCAGAGCCATGTTTATTCCACAGATGATTAATGAGATCTTGCTGGAGACGACCATGTGACGCTTGATCTCTGGTCGCTTGGTATTGCAACAAGAACTGATCAAACGTTGAATCTGATGGTCCGTTTGTCATTATTGAAGCTTGTGTGCGTGGTGTTTGGTGGTAGGTGAAGTCACCCTCAAACTTGCCTCTGGCTTCATCCTCAATTGTCATGTTGTGCAGGATTATTATGGCCAACATGATTGCAGAGAGATCATGATGTTGCCAAAATTGACTGGGGTAATGCACGATCACATATTGAGCTTGGAGAGCACCAAAAGCTTGTCCTACGTCCTTGCGGTAAGCCTCTTGCATTTTTGTGAAATGCTTCTTCTTGGCTCCTTGTGGTTTGGATATGGACTGGATCAAAGTCGTGTATGGAGGGTAGATGCCATCGGTCAAGTAATATCCAATATTGTATTGATTCCTGTTAACCTTGAACAAAACCAAAAGACCTTTGTGAAGAAATTAAGACCGGAGAAGGGAAAATTTTTGAGGAGAAAAACTTTTGGCAACAAATTTGATTTTTGTTGGAACGGCTCAAAGGGTCGAAAAATGAAGGAGAGAACCGATGATGTTTTACTTAGAGGAGACTAGGCGTTAAGTAGTCTACATACAAGAGGTTAAACATGTGGGTGAGAATAAAATGAATATAGAAATGAATATAAATTTAACACATGCATGAAAAGAAGACAGGAGCAAATACTCAATGATAAAGACTAGACCCAGGTTCAAAGACTACGGGGATTGCAGCACTAGACAATGAGAAAAGGTGCCACTCAGACACTTACAAGACATGGTGAAATTAATAGTTTTCATCTAAACATTATTAAATCAGAAAGATGAGATAGATAAATTTTTTAGGGATGAGGAGAAGGAGACAAAATTCCAACACTTTGCCTTCTTGAAGCTGCTCAAAGATGGGTGAGCAATTGAGTATGTTGATGTCGTTGAGAGTACCTGGCATACCAAGGAATGCATGCCAAATCCATAGATTGTAAGAGGCAACAGCTTCAAGAACCACCGTAGGCTCCTTTTCCTTGCCTGTATACTGACCATGATCAGCAAATGGGCAATTCTTCCAGCACCAGTGCATACAATCTAACAACCCCATCATTCCCGGAAAGCCTCGCTCCTCTTTCTGCTGCCAAGAGCCTCCGCGCATTGTCTTCATTTGGCTTTTGTAAGTATATGTGGCCGTAAACTTTAACAATAGTCTTGCAGAATTTTTTTAAACATTTGATTGATGTTGATTCACATATTTACCATCAAAGATATAATCAGATTTATGAAAAACAGATCAAAAGTATAACTTACTCATGCAAAGATACTCATCAAAAGAGTCCCCACCACATCCATATGCTAACATCCGCATGGCTGCAGTGCCTTTTTGAAGAGCCAAAAATCCAAGCCTTCCAGCTGTGTCTTGCTTTTGTTAGAAGTATTGATTGGCTGTTTCAATATCTTCAACAATTTTGAGTAAAAGACTCCTGCACATCCTGAATTTGCAACAGAAGAGGTAATCAGGATAAACGCAGTCCTCAGAGAAGTAATTATTGTAAAGTTGCTGGTGTCCTTGAAGGTGATTCCGGTAAATTTCCCTTCTTCCAGGTGTTGAACCACCATGTTCCTTTTTTTGGTTTGTCTTGAGAATTAAGGCCAATGTGGTTTGGAGGGAGGCAAGAACATTGTCGCTGTCATCCATCCAATGGAAGAGATTGTCCATGGTGTTGGTGATGCGAGACAAGGGTGGTAGGTGAATCCAGAGAATTGACTCTGGATCATGTTGAGGGGCGCCAGGGACTGAAACAATGACTGAAGTCGGAACTCAAGAGAGGGAACTTTTTGATGAGAATTTAATGTATTGATTCAGTGAGAAAAGGAGTTTGAAAGACAGTCCGGTAGCTCAGTAGTAGTGGGAGGCTTGATATAAGCATAACTAGGTACAAGCATACAACATGTACTACATAGAGGATTGGCTAATCCAACAGATCACTGCTCAAAGTGCCAGTCCATAACTGGAGCTGACCCGCAACCCCTGAGAAATGTGTTTGCGGCCCAGAGAACGCACATCAACTGCCCCCCAGACCGTTAGAGATGCTCTCAGGTCGGAATAAACTTGTGTCTCATTTTTTGTGCAAAAAAATATTAATAATCATACCTTGCCCCCTTCCCTGTCGCTCCAAGGAGAACCTTGTTGAGTTCAAGTAGGTGTCAATAAGTCATACACTCATTTGGACAATGTCAAGATAAACACCTGATACCGTCTCGTCTCATCTCTGTTGCACTGTTGCTAGTGAATTTAAACGGAAATAAAATCCATCTTGCGGCCATTATAAACACAGATTGATCACATTTTTGGGATCAAATTGAGTGGTTTGGAAACATGGTTTGTTGGAATATACAGAAGGAAGAGTGATCCATGATGTCAACAAGGGAGTGTCTCCTATTTTTATGTGTTTTTTTTTGGGGGGGGGGGGGGGGGAGTGAGAGGAAGAGCAAGAAGTAGAAAGCAAAGCCCAACAGGTAGTAAACTACTCCTCCAACTGCTGAAAGCAACCAAGGCTTGCCTTGCTCTCATCATGAGTTATTTTACGTTTCTTGGAAATTTTTAAAGCTACTTTGGGGGCTTGCAATCCTTTGGAAAATCCTCAACAGGTGTATTCTCGGGGTTGGTGTCGTGGCACATTTGTGCATAATTGTCAGGGTTACCTCCGCTGTCCAAAATCATTGGCTATCATGGGAGAGGACAAGTGGGAAGAGAAATCAGAGGAATTTAGTGTGAATTGATTATATTCTAGATGAGTGTGAAGGTTCATAATCAAAGGGAGTCTATATTAATACTGACCTTGCCTTTGGATGGGATTTTAATGGTGCCCTGCTTACAGCAAGTGCTAAAGGTCATTCCGGTGCCGTGGCAATTAAAAAAGTCTTTATGATTTTCTGTTGGGTTTGCTTTTACGACTGATGATTTGAACAAACGGGATACAGTCAACTTCCGCTTTGCCTCTGTTTGATCAAATCAAAACGAAGAAGAAAAAAAAAGAAATGTTTACTTACTTTCCCATTTCACCGCGTTGTCCGATTTCCAATCCGTTGCTTTCGCGCAACCTGCTTCCGCGCGGCTAGTGGAAGTGGGGCAAGTGAATGTGCACAGCTTCTTCGACTTGTCTTCCTCCGAGGTGGCAGCGGCTAAATCGAACACTGCAAGCGTGACAACTATTATTGATTTTAATGATAATAACATCGTGAGAGTTCAAGCAAGAAATCGATTATCTTTAAACAGATGAGAGGAAATTTAAACTAGCTAGTAGTAAAAAACAGGCTAAAATACGCTGGAAAGAGTCGTTGGATTTTTGGTTTGAGTTAAGGTGAGCCGACTGGTACTGGAAAGATTGGATTTACAAGGAGGTGTGGTTGGATGAGGGACAGATGGGGCTAGCCAGTTCCATTTATAAGGCTCGATATAATTGTCAATGTTCGTCGCTTTGTGGTCCCCATGCTATAAGAGCGCCAAGACGAGGACAGAAGCTGTGCGTGAAGTGGCTGAAACCGTCTCCCGTCGATAAATTCCACGAAGTCGAACCAGCCAGCGAGTGCAAAACGCCTCCAGAGTGTGAAGATACCGAATCCATCAACCTTCGACTGTCGTACGGCCAAGCAATCCACTACAGTCTGCGGCTAAGTAGTCGATTCCAACCCGATCAATGGGTCAACAACCGCTTTCATGTCACCCGGACAACCTGATCGAGTTATGTACTCCATTTGATCGACAGGAAGAAATCGTGCCTCCAGAGCTGTTTCTCCGGGAGGAATATGTAGACTTCCGTAATCCGTGGAAAGCCCATCATCGAATACGTTTGCGGCAGTAGACTAGAGATACCGAGTCAGTCCATCGCGTCGCGCGAACATTGAAAGCCTCAGAGTCTATGGCCAGCGGGGTTGGCTTGTGCACTTGATAGACCTTCGCCACAATACAAGTTACAAATCTTGCTTAATCGACCAGATTTGTCTACGCGGAAACCGTTGGCAAGATGTGAATGTTTGATCATATTTTCAGAAAGACATTACATATTGATAAGATGTTTATGTGAGGGTCTTCAGACACCTTCAGAAACCAGGTCCAGACATTTTTAACGCTCAAAGGCGGATCCCCAATCTAGCTGGGGTTGCATCATTTCTGGACTAAAATGCATGGTACAAAGGATAGAGACCCTCAAATGATCGGTGAATGTGAGGGCAGAATTCTTGTCTGCAGGTACCCAATCTGGGAACGAAGGTGGGTGACGAGGTCGATTCAAATCCAGTCGAGTCGAGTTCTTGATAAAACCACGAGACTCGAGTGACAAAGAGCGCATTGGGGTTCAAGGTTGTCTCAGTTTTCGTCTTCATCCTTCAGCTCTTTGGCACTTTTCTGTGCCAAATGCATTTTTCCTCGATGCGCACTTCCTTTTTTCAAATCCCCCACCCCCTTGGAAAAATGGGGCGCACTTCTACAAGCCGCACTTTTTTCATTTTGATCTTCTTTTGGTCCCAATTGATGAGTTAGATAAATTCACGGATAAATTGGTATTCACAATCTCTGGGAAAGAAGGTCGCGATGCACTCCTGCTACCTGACAGAAGTACCACAAGGCGTACTCCAAGTGCTTAATGGAGCACACAACCACTGAAAATAGTTATTAGAACATTAGGTATAATTACTTACTCGGTTTAGAGTGATAGACACGTATACAAATTTGTAAAGATAAAGTCAACTGATGCAGTCTTAGAAAGGCGACTGGATTTAAAATTAAGGACAACTGATTATCCAAATACTACGCCAAAGACTGATGGCAACTATTTCAACATGGGAACCTTCATGCTTGCACGTCCAAATACCACTGCTGGGTTTTGTCGTTCTATGAGGTGGGTTCAGGTTGTGATTGGCGAATGCAATTTCGAAAGATGATGATGGTTAGTATGCTGTAAAGCCAAAAAAAAGGGACAATGACTGGGAAGGGGGGAAACGACAACTCAACTGGATCCAACTTCTTGAGTACAAGGCTCAACTGATTTCCGACAGTTTTCTTAACCGCAGAGGTCCAGACTCTAGTTTCCATATCCTTTTGAAATCAAAAGGATGACATGAGCACTCTAAGTTAGTTTTCTGATCTGATGTACGTTTTTTTTTTCGCGGAAATTACGATCAAGCTCACGTAAAGATGGTCAACGCTGACGACGTAAAACGGACCAAGGGAGCCATCAGCTTCTTTCCTCTTTGGGTGAATTTGGGACGCTGTTTTAGAATAGATATGGTGCCTAGTTGTCCTTTTGTCAAACATTTTCAACGGGCTTGCATCCGCATGGCTGAAATCCTCCGCTTTTTCGATGAGATCTTGGTTGTGATTGGGGTCCCCGTGGACAACATTCAGAGCTTGGGCGACTGGCATAGCGTTGGTAGTATTGGCAATATGACTGGTTGGGAGACTGTTTTCCAATTCGCGTTTGCGTTCACCGGAAAGATCATAGTGCCTCTTGCTCTTGGGCTTATCCGGGGACGAGAAGTTCTCGATTCGATTGGTTTTGGGGTTCCAAAAAGGTGTGGGTAGTTGATCGCCAGAAGCTTTTCCTTGGTCTTCGACGATCCGAGAAATTATCGGGTTATCCTTCATCTTCATGTGTTTGTTTTGACTTAAGATCTGGTTCTTCAAGTCCAACGTTTGATCAGAGTTCAGGTTCTTCGCAGCTTCGACAGGCATCAATAACCACCATCTAAGGTGGAGTCAAAGAAGATTGGTGTCAGCGCCAAAAAGCTTGACATCAATCTGGACAATCAAAACTACTGACTGCTTGGGCTTTTCCAGAGTTGCTTCAAGGTTGAGCGGATCCACCACACATTCGTAAAGTGTTCCTGCCTGGAAAGAGGTTGCAAGTAAGCAACAGGACAACGACAAGACGAAAAAGAAACAGCAAGGAAAGAACCAAAAACAGACATGATCCGCTCCGCCTTCAGTATGATATCCCCATTGCGCACTGATGCATTTTGGATCACCAGTGGTGGCAGTGGTTCGGATACTAATCCACTTGGTGCGGGTTCTGTGAGAGCGAAGCTCGAGAGCCGAAACCACTTCGAGGCTATCATCATCATCATCATCGTGTTTTCCACCACGTGCGCGGTGATGACGGTGATGATGAGCGGCAGGAAGAATGCTGCCGCTGTCACCTCCATCGCCACTGGTATAGATATTGGGCACGTCATTCTTTCGGTCATGTTGGATGGTTTGGCCGGTGCCGACATTCTTGAAAACGTAATTACCGTCGGTCGGGACGATAGATGAGGATTGAATCAATTTGGCATTCTCGATGTTGTTAAAAATCCCATCTGCTAAGGTCGAATTGAAGCTGCCAAGGAGCGTGATGCTCGTGAGCAAAATTAGATAAAGATTGTGGTTCTTCATTGTTGTTGAGGGAAAGATGACTGAGTAGGCCCGCTTGCTTGAGAAGACTGAAAGAAAACTTGGTGAGAACAGAACGATTGATGTTGGAGGCAAAAGACGACAGAAAATGACTGATGTGTTAGAACTTGAGTTGTGCTAAAGAGTGATTAATGATAAGGGGTGATGATTACGAGGCAAGATGTGTCTGGCTTTATACTACTCCGCTATCATCCGGAAGTGGGGAGATGAGATATCCCTGCTAGGTAGCTTTAGCAGTCCATTCAGCAATGCTTTTAGCGGTCACTCCACAGGTGCCTTGGCTGTTTTTATCTTAATCCAGATGCACAATGTCTGTATGAATGTGTTCCAGACTCTGGACTAACCGTCAAAGCCCATCCAAGCTTTCCTGCAAACCGCTGAGAGTGAATGCGTGATCTGGTGTTCCTCTTTGCCAGGTCATAGAAAAGGTACTTCAGGAGTATCACAGCGTACCTTCATGAGGCTGCCTGATAGGGCATTGTGTACCAGTCTAGCGTGGAGCGCATACATCCAGAGTCCATAGTACAGGAACTTGATGTAATCATCATGAACCAAAGCTTGGATAACGGTCCCTAATCCTAAAGATTTTAAACATAAACCGATACACACATTATATTCAATTTTTGGCCCTCAACCTATAGCACGTATGCAATTAAAACAACTCCTATTGAATTCTCGTTAGCCCTACCAATATCAAGTGCTTAGTACTAGTACATTGAAGAAACCATGGTCTTGGATGGCCATAGACTCATCGATTCAAGGGAGACGATGATAAAAGTAACAACAAAGAGAAGGCGTATCATTAAAAGTCAATTTTTGGTGTAGTCTGTTGTGAAATCTTGCGCAAACATAAGATCACGAGCTGTTTCAGATCCTTGCCAAAGATATGCGCGTGATCACCGGACAGCGGCACTGATCTTCCGATCCGTCCAAGTTTCAAATCCTTCCAACACCCTTCCACATCCGTCCCGTTTTGGCTTGAGATCTGCAGAAGATCGCGATAGGAGGTGAAGTATGCAGTGAGAGAGGAGCCGTCGCCTTGAGAGCTGGAATAGATATGTTTCATCCCTCCTAACTGGTTCGAGCTCTCACAAGCCAAAAGATCAATCAATAGCGGTTGTAAGCAAAGTAAATGCGCATTCGGGGTTTGTGCTCGTGTGGTCGTTAAGATCTTCTCAGATGGCGAGGAGGGATCCAGCTCTGCGAATGAATTTTGTTAGAACTGATCATTTTGGTATCATTATCGCCATTTCATGTAGATAAGAGGTCGCTCACTCGATGGTGTTAGTGAATACTCCCCAGAAAGTGACATAGCCACACTTCCATCCCACAAAGAGTGTGTCAACAGCTGCTGAAGAATGTAGGTAATTTCCTCATTTCGCAATCTAGATCACAACAGTAACAATCATCAACCAGAGGTTCGCCCACAATGCTCATGTTGAGCGGGATGAAACTTACCGATTGAACGGCACGGTTCCTCGTATCGGGGCGTCAACCAGATAGGCTCTGATAGCCGCGATACATCGGGTAAGAAGAATCGGTAGCCAGATCGAGGCGACTCGTTTAAGATCACTTTCCAAAGCTAAAAAACTGAAACAAATGAACCGATATGTATAAGACAGGATAAAACGAGGCAACTTGTGCAACTTACACTTTTTTGATGTGGCGGGGCTACAGAAAAGAAAGAGGAGATCAAAACACCAGTAGATGAATCGTTCACGGGGTCTCTTTGTTACATCAGCAGTGGTCCCACATATGTCACCTTTGGCTTGTTTAGCGAAGTCATCGATAAACCGACAGTTCTCAGGATGTATCTGACCAAGACTAGTGGCTCCCTTCCCCGGCACGATCGCTTGGCGGTTGTTTTCAATTTCAAGGTCGAAGGTGTACAGGCGGGAGGCTGCTTGGACAGTCATCCCCAGACCCCGGATTATGTCATCCGGAATCCGAGAGTTTCCTAAGCACGGTAGAACGTCCAGCTCTAAAGATGCTGAGGATGGTAAATGCCACGAACTGAATGAGCCACAACGGTTGATGATCAGACTGAATCAAGCTCAACATACCGACAAACGCCAAGTCGAAATTTTCTTGGGCTTGTTGCTGGTCCAAATCAAACAATAGCTCTGGCTTACTGGAAATGAATATGCGTGAGTTGGCGGATGTCATTAGACGAAGCAGGATGTACGGAGATACCGCAAAAACCCTCACCAATCAGCCGAAAGTACACAATTAAAGTTTTCCACCACCTGTTTCCAAAAGCTTTCAAAAGCATCTCGTGTAACGCTGAGATCTAGGCCTGTCAATGATGGTAGGCATGACTTGATGATCTTTAGGAAAGAGATACTGGCTGTCGTCCATAGAGGTGGAGCCTTCCCATGTTTTGAAGCCGCTGGGCAGCCGTATTTCAATCTCAATGGTGTGCTGAAAGACTTGATCATCGCCCCTCGAAGTTAGATTTCATGGACTGTATTGCGCTGAGGAAAATCACTTACCGACAGCACTTTGGTGAAAGCGCCACTATTGTAAACTTCTGGCTTCTTGCGGAATTTCTCGACCAGACTGACTAATCTTGGCTGAATTGCTTTGAACAGGGCGATGTAGGTGACGCTGATGGTCGACGGCCGATTGGAGAACCTGTCTGTAACTTCGAAGGGTGAAACAAATGCCAGATTACCAAGCTCAGCGGTAGATGATATGACTGCCGAAGACACATCGAGGGCGTCGTGATCGATGCGATCGATCGTGGCGATCACTGCCGCAGGAACAGGTGGTAATGTGTCGATGTCGGGACGGTAGTCTGGGCTCTTCGGATATGTAACGACAATTTTACAGATTTCGAGTAGGGTTTTGATCCTCTCGTGATTCATTTTCAACCGAGATGGGTTTTGTAAAGGACGTAAAACTTGAATGTAAGCTTCCAAAGCAGCTTGAGTAAAGTAGATACTATCGGGCTTAGAGTCAGACGATGCTGCTGCAATCGCCTCGCTCATTTGAACAAACGCATGCCACACTACTTCCCAAGCAGGAGCAATTTCTTTGGCATTGTGATCCCCGGAAATATTGGTATTTAGAATTGTAGCCAAAGTCTTCATGGACGCTGTGCTCACGGATGGCCGATCGGAGGTGAAACTTCTGGAAAGATGGTCAACGAGGGTTGCCCAGGTTTTCGAAAACTGAGGCATGACAATGATGTGAGATGTCAAGTGATCCGAAACTACCTTGCCGGTTGATTCGAGCGCCAGAATTTTCGAGTCATCCAGTTGTTTCGCATTGAGGCTAATGGGGGCGCCATTGGGTTGCCGAGCAACATCAATAGGTAAATTCTCATCAGAGGAGCCGGATGGTTGGGTAGGAGTTTTGTTGATTTGGTTGCTGAGAAGCTCCAACAGCGGAAATATCACCTCCCATAAAAGCTCATGCCAGACACTAGAGGATAGTGAGCTTCCATACAGGCCAATTGTCCGAAAGAGGGTTTGAATCGCACCATCCCTGACCTCTTGTCTAGACGCATGAACCAATTCCAAAAGCTTTGATAACAGGTACATCCATAGTCGCACGTAACTCTCTCCTCCCGCTTTCGAAGCTTTGTTTTTCCCCTGGACGTGATCAGAGACTTGCCAAAGTAATCCACCAGCCGTGAGGGCTATGTTTATATCGTCCGTTTGGCGAGCGAATTCTGCTAGAACACTGATGCATTGTCCCAATTCCTCCAACTTTAGGGCCGTCAGAAAGTCGGTACAGATGAGCTGTAATGAAGGAAAACTATTCCGGACGAGGATGGAAAGTTTGCTAGGCAGATTACTTGGTTTAGAGGTTCCTTTGCCTTTCGCCCCCAAGTTATAATTCAATGGCTTCAGAGTCGTTCCGGTGTCTGAAGAAGTTTGAGTATCTGAAGTTTCGCAGGCAGTTCGGAGCACATCCAGGATCAATTTCCACCCTGCCACAAATGAATGCCCGTCGTTCTCTAATATTCTGAACAACGTTTCGAACCCGAGCTTGCGAACCTCAAGGTCGGCTGACGATTGTGTGGAAGGAGTCGGCGCAGCTGTCGTCCCAATACTTCAATGATTTGGGTTTGGATCCGGCACTGCAGCGACTCGTCCAGGTTGTTCAGCAATTTGGGAACTGATAGTATAATGCGATCGAAGACGTCTGCCGCTTGTAGACGTATGTTGCTAGGCGCCTCGGGATAGCGCTGGACGGCAAGCAGATGTGATGTGATTGGGGTCCAGGCAATTTCGCTTTCAGATAACACGAGTCGTCGGATGTTGAGAAGTGCCACGGATCCTAATTTGGCCACGGCAAATGAGCGTTCATTTTGGCGCTGGATCAACATGTGTACCGATCAGTTTTGTTCCGTGAAGCGGATGAAAATTGTCAGACTCACATAGTTCCGAAGGGTGGGTATGCCACTGGCTTTGCGGCGCGAATCAAAGGTTGATGTCTTTGGCGTTATCGTGGCAGTGCCACCATGTTCAGGAGGAAGGCCGACTGTTTCACTGCTAAGGCGGCAGAGTGCTGTAACAAAACTACTGAAAGCACTTGAATCCAAATTGCGAGAACAGTCAAACAGCTTTTGGATGTTGGCCTGTATCACGCTTTCGTCAGATGTATTGCTGCTGTGGTTTGGTGTCTGTGAACTCGGCAAGGTAGTCCTTTTCTTGAGCTTCGCAGCAATCACGTAGTCTGCGTTTTGTAAAGTTTCGAAAACGGTGTACCACGAGCTGCCAAGAACTCCGGAGAGATATTGTGCAACTGATAATAGGGTGCGTAGAAAAGAAAGACTTCGCGAACTGAAGTAAGTGGACGAGTGAGTAGCTCCAAGACCGAGTGAGTCGACGCTTAGCACACTTTGCGATGCTTTAGTAGGAGTGCCACTAGAGCCCTCCATGATTAAATTCGCTAAGATGGTAGGCGGGACAGCAAATTTGCAAAAGCTAAGCAGAAAGGCATCTCGGGGGGTGGTTAGATCAAGAATTCCACAAACATACGTAAAGCTTTGCATTGCGGATAGAGTCTCATTGAACAATCCTTCATCTAAGTTGGTCGAGACGAAAAAATTCAAAGAGGCTAATAGGGCAGGCCAACTGGCGTCTGCCATGCTTTTGGTCATCTTCAGACGTTCTTTATTGGGTCCAGCTTTCAGCTCATCGATCGGGAGGATGGAGGATGGTGGTGGTGTGTCATCTGACGCATTGTTGGGCCTTGAGTGACGGAATTCTTCATGTTGTACCAGCGCAAATCCGGCGAAGCCTTCGGCGACATTGCAGATGCATTGTAGAGCAAGCAGGTACACATAAGTCTCGGGAATGACGGGTGCTTCAGCCTTGTCTAACTGGTCAATACATTGTAGCTTCATTGCCGCGGTGGCCAAAGAAAGTCCCCCTTGCTGAGCTCCCACTAAGGGGGCAGCTGCTTGTGTAGCAATCCCAACTACTCCGTCAATCATTCCTTGAACTCCCGGGTTGGCAGTGGTGCCGATGTGATAGGACGAAGTGCCGGTTGCAATATCTTGATTAATTCCAAGTAGAGCCGGCTTTTCTGAGGCCAAACGATTAAACGTGCCCATCAAGCTCGTGAATAGGCCCGAGGTTTGATCTGGACGGCGCATATCGTAACGCTCGTAAATCTTCAAGAGTAAATCAAAATCGACACATAAACCACGGAAGATCTCCAACGCCAAGACTCGCAACCAGATTGGAACAGGTTCAGCCTGGCCTTCTGAATGATCGATAGAGATGGTCTTGATAATCAGGGAAAGAAATATTTCTGCCTCAACCAACAGATCGTCTGAAAACTGCTTGAGTAGCAAGAAAGCCACTCTCATCAACCGCAACGTGAGTGGGAATGTTGGTTTTTCGCTCAAGGCTCGAATGAGGAGTGGACACAGTTGAGCTCTGAGGACGAAAATGAGTTCAGGATGCTGTTATGAAAACGTCATCAGCACCTCATGACAAGCGTGATCTTCTTGTGTACACCATATTTACCTGTTGGAATAGGTTGCCGTGTCCAGTCATGACACTTTCGATCAACTCGAGACCGAAGGTTTTGGGTAGACTCTGTAGTTTGAGGAGTGTGGGCGAGTCGCCATTGACGAGGAGGCATAAATCTTCAAAAACGAGATAAGCATCCTTTGCACTCGGACGAAGGGCTACCTGTCGAGCTTCGGTCCTTTCCGTTTCGCCAGAGAGGTGAATACTTTCGAAGGGTGGGATCGCAACTACGAAATCGGTTTCAGTTCGGGTGGGATCTGGTTCTGAGTTTGATCCCGGTGGGTACTTGACAGCCTTGTCTTCTCCAGCTACTCCTTCGAATACGACCATCACCAATTGCCTCAAAGTTGCAGCAGCAGTGGAGCTAACGACACCAATTCGTGAATCTTGAAGACGAAAGCAGAGCAGTAAGGCATCCGCCAATAAACCGCCATGGAGGTATTGTGCGCATTTAGTGAAGAGCGAAGGTAGTGTTTGCAGGATACGCAGCTGAATCTCGACCCCCAACGGTAGAACGGTTGAGAGCAAATTGACGATCTGGGGTATTTTGCACTTTGATATCAAAGACATTTATCAGTAAAATCGGAGATTGAGGTAGAAGATAACAATATATCTGATAACTTACGGATGGGACAGCATCCATTGCGATTAATCTTTGAAGGCTTCCAAGCGCAATTACTACGACCTTGGCATTCTTCGTCGCACAAGCCATCGAAATGGGTCGAAAGATGTCATCAGCAGGACCAGGGATCGGTACTGCCGTATTGCGAAGGGTGGTTAAAATCTGATCGGGTGAGGTTCTGATTAAAGCAAGGGCCTTGTCAGCAGCCTGAATGCATGGATTACAATAGGTTCACGTGAAGACAAGATCAGTGGCCAGTTTCAAACAAACACCCAGAGAATCAAATGATGGGCACTACTAACCTCCTTAATATCAGCATGCTTCCGTTTGGTCTCTGAGGCTAAAGCCTGGAAGTCGGATGCCAGTAAGGCAAAGTTACCGGAAGAAGCCATCGATTGTTCAGTTTTTGTCCCTCTGAGACCTCTTGATAGGTTTGTTGACCGTTGATGGGGTGATGAGACAAGAGGTGGTCATGAGCTCGATGAAGGAAATTTGATGTGGTCAAGTTGGAGGAAGTTCACGGGCCACTGGAAATTCGGGATCAACATGATAAGCCTCGGCAGGCGGGCGCAGCTCAAATGGCACCACACGACGTCATACCACCTGCACACCACTCAAGCCATCTTTGACCAGACCATCAGTCCTCATCACCCATACACAGGCAAACAGGCATCCAGCTTACTAATTTGCTTCCTTCTTGAGAGAACTTGCGCGAGACATAAGGAAAGGGGAAAACATCTGGCATGGAAATATATGTAAAGCTGGCTCTGCACAAGTATGACTTGAGGAAGGAGAATTTCACCTATGTCTTTACTTCCATCCTTACCAGGTCCATGACCATCATTAGTAGAGTCTTCTATCATTAAATTTGGGTTGAAATTGACCAGCAGCACCTTGCGTACTGCCATCAACCATAATTCCTCACATCCTTTGGCTCAACCATCCTTCCAACAGAAAAAAAGTCACCAGCTCACTCAGGATCATTGCAGCCCAACAAGTTCTTGACAGGCTGATGTCCTCTTGGAATAAATTTTTTTGGAAACCTGAAAATGTCCAAGATGATTGTCATTTTCCTGGCCCTCAATTCCTTCTCAAGGCCTATCTGTCTACCAGTTCCCAGATTGGGGATCAGCTAAAGGGCCAGTGGATTGATGAGCTACAGTTGATGGCCTTCAGTGAACATCAATATAAAATTTGCACAGTGCTAAAAGTATCAATACTGCAAATCTCTGCTGGCCCATTTTCCTGCTTGATTTCGCATTTGGCAAAACACACCCACAAAAATCGGTGTGCAGCCACAAAAGAATAGTTCACCACTATGTATAATGCACCTTGGGGGCTCTTCTGATAGCACCAATTCTTCAAAAATGGGGAGTGAACTAGCTGAACCAAAAACCTCCCAAGTGGAGGCTCCCCTAGATCCTTTGAATCCTCTTGGTGAACTGTCAGGACTAGGAGTGGAATCTTCCAGCTGTGTGAGCAAATTTGTTTTCTGCTTATCACAGGGAATAGGTCATGTGATGAGCTAGCTGGGGGTGAAGGCAAACCAAAGATTCAAAAAAAGTGCTGTGCAGTGCTCCCCATTACCTTAAGTTTTACTGTAATTTACATTCCCTTAAATTTATCCTGGAACAGTCTTATATTCATTTTTCTTGCAGACTGTAGTCAGCCCCACAGCTCAAAAACCTCAATGGGTCTAGATTTATGCAGCTTGGGGGTCCAACTGTTTGCTACTAGCGGGTCTCCCCACCAGGAAGAAGATTCTCCCAGCTCAAGTCTTGAGTTGCATTCAAACTGAACTCTCCAACTTTCTGTTTATGTGTTATGTCCTGGACTTGACTCTTGTGAGACGTGCATCGAAGAAAGCATGGAAGCTCTACTTCAGCTGAAATTTGGAAACCCAGATATGGTCTACATTCTTAAATTCACACTCTAAGACAAACCAACTCCTGATATCACTGGTATGGGTGTTAACACCCTGAGATGCTGAAAAAGGCTAATGTTGATACAGATTGCAATGAGATATCTCGACGTTATAAACTTTCACATTGTTAGAAAACTGGGAACTTATAAAGCAGGGCTGAACTTTGAAGATTTGTCGAAGTCGTCCAAGATGAGACAAAATGAACAGGTAAGAAGGAAGTGCTATAGAGATCAGGAAGTGGTGAATCCGAGAGCTTGGGTGAAGCGTCGAGTGATGGACTGGTGAACTTGGTTCCAATAATAAAACTGGGTCTTATAGTAAAGTTTAGATGAAGGCTGATCGGCCGGCTGGACCACAGGAACAAAGATATACTCAACCATGTCTAAGATAATCTTAGGGGCGCTTAGAATTTGGGAGAGCGATTTCTGGATGATCAGAACATCCTGGACGTGATCGTCGATGAAATCGCCGCACAGAGCGCAGACAAGCTTCTCGATACTTTCCGAAAACGTGGTCGTCATTTTCGCGAATATTTCGAACTCTCGTGAAGATAGATCGCTGAGCATACCGATGTTTTCTTTATCTTTCGATAATTTGACTAGCTTTGCTAAAAGCAATCTGGATAGTTTTATGATTGCCATGACACATATTGTGGTAGTAGATAAGGATTGATCGCCGACTTCACGGCCGACTAATCGACTCTCTTCTTCGGAGAGGGGAGGTTGTAGATGGAGGAATAGCAGAAACTTTTCGAGCGAGTCATCGATCGAGTCTATATCGGACTTCCACGCGTCTTGGATAAGATTTAATTCGGATTTATTTATGAGATTGAGGGCCTTATCGATCGCATCCGAGCAAGTATCTCTCATCGTGAGCGACTCGGTCCTCTTCTCAGGTATCCCGTCAAAGACGTGCCCGGATTCTTCGATGAAACGACGATAGGTTCGGAGTAATTCACAAACGAGTCCGGTGACCACGTATGTTGTCAGCGCCAGACGACAGCATATCAATTGTTTGACGTTTTTGAATTCCCTATCATGCCTGACGTCCACTGGATCCAAGCCCGGATTGATGCAAGCTACCGCAAACTTGATCTTGCCCAAGGTGACATCGAGTTTTGACAAAACTTTCAACACTATTTTCAGTTTGGAAACAGGCTTGGCTTGAAGATCGGCTCGGCCAAGAAGTGCGTTCGAAAGTGAGTTGACTTGGCGTTTTAAGGCGGGTAAGCGTTTCGATTGCAGTTGATCTGAGAGGTCCATTCTAATATCAACCTGGTTAAATAGCACGAGTGGGTCTGGGCTATTGAGGATGCGATCCCACAGATTGAGGTACTTATTGTCGATCCGTCCCAACTCCTCGGCGACCAAAACTGTTGCGCCGAAAAAAAGTCTGTTAGTCTTCCCAACTCATACTGCAAGACAAGGTGCATGCTACATACCCTCGTAGTGTTTAATCTGCTCTGGGCTGTCATCGTCTCCGAGTGAGCTGAGTGAGTCGATTAAACCGGATACCGCACTTTCTTGAGGGTTCTCCATGGTGCTGGGCTGTCCACTAGAGTTGCAAGTTTCATGTACAGTCGTTGCAAAAAAAAAAAAAACACGTCAAACTACATAATTGGCTGATGTTGTGATTTTCCAGACTGTCACAGGCTGAGGTGGCACTGGCAGTCATTCACGCCGGCATCTCCTAGGGTTTAACACACCTTCCAGCACTTAAACTTAAACCAACCGTGTAGTGTGTCTGACCGCTAATTGCCAGCGTTGCCAGCAGTTCAGACAGGATTCGAGCAGATGTGAACTCTTGGGTGGACTCTTAAGCAAGAGTAGATCAGCCCATTGCTTGGGCTGTATGATCTCATGAGCATACACTTAAATACCCGCTTCCTCATCATGATTGTACCTCCCTCGAGCCACACGTTAAAAGACGAACTATATACTGGTATTACTGCGATAGATCTGTGCAACCTCGGAGTGCTAAAATGCTGGTTGTTGGCTAGAGGTTTTTTGTTGTTGTTTGGAAACTGGAAAGCTAGGATAATTTTGAAAAGCCAAAGACTGAAGAAACAACTGTAAGATGAAATTAAAGAGATGACAAACAAGGGTATTGGAGATTCATGGGGGGATAAGGAATCTGAGAGCCTCGAGGAAGTTTCGAGTGGCCCAAGTGGTGAAGTTGGTTCCATTCATAAGACCCAAGCTTTGTAGTAAATCTTAGGCGAGGGCTGATTGGCCGGATTGAACAAATGAACAAAAACGTAGTCAACCATGAACAGGACAGCTCTAGGGGTACTTATAAGGTGATGGATGGCTTGATTGATGACCATAATACCTTCAAGGCGATCATCGCCGGGATCTTCTGATAAGCCTTGAACAAGGCTTTTGATGGCTTCTGAAAGATTGTTAGGCATCGTTATACATATCTCGAGCTCCCTCGAACTGAGATTAGTCACCATCCTGAACGTCTCTTTATCTTCCGATGCCTTTATTAGCTTCGCCAGAAACAATCTTATTAATTTCATTATTGATATCACCGATATTGTAGCACGAGATAGTCCGGGATGATCTTGGCCAGAAGTCTTGCCAGAGCGAGGCGGCTCTTGATCTGGGATCGAATGGCTTTCTTCTATCGAATGGGGTGATCGATTGACGAAATCGAGAAAGCTCTCGAGCGAGACATCCACCGTATTTATACTCGACTGCCATCCGTCTTGGATGTGGTTTAATTCTGATTTGTTCATGAATTTGATTGCCTTATCGATCGAATCCGAGCAGGCATCTCTGATGGCGAGTACTTTGGTTTTCTTACGAGGTTCATTCTCAAATGCGTGTCCCGATTTTTCAAAAAACCGACGAGATGTTTCAAGCAGTTTACAAATCCGTCCGGTCACCTCGTATATTCTCAGGGCCAGACGGCTACAGGTGAATGCTTTCAGTTTTTTGAAATCCTTGTCATCTCTTATGACTTCTGGGTCCACGGATGGGCTGATGCAAGCTATCGCAAACTTTATTTTACCCAGAGTGGCATCCAGTTTTGACAAAGATTTCAAGATCAGTTGTAGTTTTGAGACTGGCTTGGCTTGAAGATCCGATCGACCAAGAAGTGCATTCGAAAGGGAGACAACCTGGCGTTGTAAGGTAGGTAAGCGTTTCGATTGCAGTTGATCCAAGAGCTCAGTCCGTATTTCGACTTGGTTGAATAGTGCGAGCGGGTCTGGGCGATTTATGATGCCATCCCACAGTACACGGTACGCATCGTGGACACGTCTTAACTCCTCGGTAACCAAAGCTAGGAGGGATCGAAAACAAGTCGTCAGTTTATCTTTCTCTTTGAAACCTTCCTTTCGCATTCGGATCACAACATAAAGTGGGCATCACATACTCTCATAGTGTCTGACCTGCTCTGAGCTGTCTTCGTTTCGGAGGGAGCTGAATGAGTCGATTAATCCCGAAATGGCACTTTCTTGAGAGTTGGTCATCATTCCAGGTTGATCAAGCGTGTGTTGTGTGGGTGTGCGAAGCGGCCATCTCGGCTGTGTCAACGGAGACGGCGGCGGGGACCGGGCTGGACCGGGTGCCCAGGGTCAGGCTGTAAACGAACAGCGAACCCGACCCGACACTTTTTTCGGGTTCGGGTCAGGTTTTAAAATATGTATGCTGCCGGGACCCAAACCCGTCTTGGGACTTCTTGGGTTTGGGTCGGCAATATGCACGTTGGGTTCGGGCCAACCCAATTTTTATAGCCTGTATACATACAGCAAACATGATCAAAAATTACCGGCCCAAACCCAACCTGCTAAGTCTCCAGGTCAGGTTTGGGCCATGTGGTTTTCTCTCAAAATCTGCCCAATCCCCACCCATAAACTGTTGGGTGTCAGGTTGGCCCAGCCCATTTACAGGGAACAAACAACATCAAGAGGCTACAGCCCTTGATGACTGGAACAACTAAGGCTGGCACCCAGGGCTTTGGTCGGGGGGGTCAAGCCCATCCCGGACCCCACATCCAAAACCAACCGGGTGGACACCAATCCACCCAGGTGGTTTTAATTGTTTTCTTTGCTGGCAAGCACTGAGTTGATGGGTGGTTGTAAGCCTAGAATATACCGCAGACACTCCTTTTCGCTCTTTTACAACCGTATGTTCAATTTTTTATGATGGAAACTCACTCAGTTGCTTGTTGGTAACTTATCACTTCACTCCCCCTGCTCAACCGTCACTCTACTTGCACACTTGCCACTCTCCTGGCTCTTGAATAGACACCAATTGGCCCATCAGAGCACTGATGATGCGCAATGAACGTCCAAAAGTGTAACTTGAACATCTCAAAAGGCCTCTCAAGGCTTCAATCTTAACCACCCAGGGTGTCAGGGGGGTGTTGCAGACCCATCCTGACCACCTAACCTAGAGATCGTTCGTTTGTACTTGGGTACCTGTTGAATTTTTTCAGAAAATAGGTACCAAGTACCGCACCAGGCACCTCCCGGCGGGTACCGGCGGTACTTTTGGCAGGTACCGCGGGTACCTCCCCTCTCTTCCTCACTTAGTTTGACTGCAAGGTTCATTACAATCCTTTTGCATCTTGTTTGAGTTTTTTTTGGGGGGATTTTTTGTGACTATCATTTTGTTTTAAAAACATAAAAAATATAAAGTCAAAAACAATTGAAAACAATTTAAAAAAAAACTGTTTGTAATTGCTGAAAAAAAAGAAACAAAAAAGAAAAGAGAAAAGAGAAAAAAAAGGAAAAAAAAGAGAAAAAAAAAGAAAAGAACAGATAAAAAAAGAGATAAAAAAAATAAAAGAAAAAAGAAAAAAAAGTAAGAAAAAAAAAGAAAAGAAAAAAAAAAAGAAAAAAAGAAAAAAAATGGCCTT